GCTGGGTGAACTTGGGCCTGTCTCTCTCTCTCTCTCTCTCTCTCTCTCTCTCTCTTAGCCCTAGGAAGGAGACAATGGTGAACTACTTCTGAAATCTTTCCAAGAAAACTGCAGAGACTAGTCCAGGCAGTCTCCAGGAGTCAATACTGACTCAAAGGCACAAATGCATATATGCATCATTTCAGGTAATCCCAACGTTGCCTGGGAATTTTAGTTCCGACATATTTGGAAGGCAGCAGGTTGGAACAGGGAATGCAGGCAAACTAGGCAATTGCCAGGAGCATCACAGTTTAAGGATTTTCCATCACTTGGGAATCTCAATTCTTTCAGCAGGACCTGTTCCCCCAAATCTTATTCAAATGCATATTCTGCATATTCAAAACAGGCGTAATATTTGAGGCAAACCAAGTTGTTTTGGTCACATTTCTGCTCCTCTCTGAACCAACATACATTTTATCCAAAAAAAGAATTGTTCTGCAGGATTGTCCACCTTGAATGGGCAAAAATGTGACGAATGAATAAGGCACCTTTGGGACAGCTCCATTGAGGTCATCGATTTGTCATGCACTTCCAAACCACAGAACCAGTTTCGCTGTTCCTTTAAACACTTTTGAAAGAATTTCCTACTTAAGTATCTTAGTAATGTTAAGAATCAAATTACATACAGACAAAGAACAGTGGCAGATGGTGACGGATAGCAATTCTCCGTTTGGCAACAAAGAGCGAGATTTGGCAGTTGATGCTCTTCTTTCCTATACATTATACTAGACAAAGCTCTCTTCAAGGCAGCTGAAAAGGGAAAAAGGCCGAGACTTCAATTATGGGGCACATGCTTACCTGCCCAAATCTTTAAAAAGTGGGGGTGCAAAGCAGACGATGCTGTGATTCACGATTTTCCTAACAATTTCATGGATGCCGAGGAAAACAGTGTTACTCAGATATAAATCAATTATGCACTGTGAGGTCCTTTCAAAAATTCGATTAAGCTTGGGGTGGCAGTAAGAATTTCTAGTTTAGAAGAATAAGACAAGATTAATCTCTAGATGCAGTGACAGCCCCCCAGGAGCCCATGGAAAACTTACATGCTAAATTTGACTTGTACAATCTTTAATGGAAAAGTTAATCCAGGCCTATCCTTCTAATGAAATAAATAAAGAATTGTGAGGAAAGTTGGGGAGGGAGGATGTTACACTGGACAGATCAAGGTAATAATCCAGGCAAACACCAGTTTAAAATGGCTCTAATTAATTAAGTTAGAGTAATATGTCTTGCTTTTATTAGAACAAACAAATAAAGAGTAGATGTTTGGCCCAAAATGATTCCTAATGATTTTTCTCTTTGCTCCATTTATTAATTTCCTAGCTCAATAACAATTGCCTGCCCCAGGAGATGTTTGTTAATATTTTATGCCATGTAAACATCTGGATCCAATTTAGCCAAGGAACATTTGCAGTTAAGCTGGCACTTTGCCAAACCACTCCAGGCAACTCAGATGCTCCATTTGCATTTATTCTTGGGAGATAAAATTACTATCAATTTAGTTTTGCCACAAGTTGTTTAGGACATATGCCTGCCTCCAAGCAGTTAGCATCTTAGGGGCAACAAGGAGATGAAACCTTCACTCAAAAGTAGGATTCCTCTAAGGTGGAATTAAAGAATTATTAGGCGATACCTGTCTATGATAAATAGCTGAGAGGAAAACTTTCTTAAACCTGCAAAGAAAAGCAACAGGTCAGAAAAAGCCAGAGTAAAATCTTGACTCTGACAATTCTCTTTGTATCTAAAGGGAAAGATGGAGAGCATGCAAACAAAGTCGTATACTTCTTTTCTGAACTACTTTAAAAATTATACTTGCTTACAAATTTAAGCAAGATTGGCTCCCCTATACATCACACATTAAACAACAAGGCAAATTCAGACACTGAGAGTACTGTTTTTAAGGGGGGGAATAATTGATGTAAGGACTATAATCAGAAATAATTTCAATAAGCATGTTGATATGATGGGAAGATACAATGGGAAGGAATTTAAAATGATGTACTTTTCCAGTATTGTTTTTCTTTCTCTTTTATTTTTTATTCATTTCTGATATTCAGAGTTTCATAGAGATTTCTAGTTGTTTTTTTTTAATGACATAATGAACTTTAAATTCCATGAAAAAAATTATATCCAGGCTATCTTTATGCTGGTACACATGATAAAATTAGGGGTTAGATTCAAACTAAGTTATAATGACAGTAGACCCACTTAAATCAATGGGACTACTCTAAGGATGGATCTAATCCTATATATTATCGGTATCTAATTTCTAAACTTGTTTCAGTTACAGGTAGTCCTTGCTTAAGGACCACAATAGGGACTGGAAAATTGGTTGTTAAGTGGGGTGGTTGTTAAGTGAGTCACCACAAGACTGGACCCAAGTTTACGACCATTTTTACGATGGTCATTAAGTGAATCAGGTAGTCATTAAGTGAATCCAGCTTCCCCAATAGACTTGTTTTGCTGGAATTTGCTTAACGACCACGTGATTCACTTAACAACTGTGGTGATTCACTTAATGACTGTGGTGATTCACTTAACAACCATCAGAAAAAGGTCTCAAATCATGATCACGTGACCACAGGGGTGGTGCGATAGTTGGTCACAGTTGTAAGTGCAAGTACAGATCATAACACAGTTTTTCCAAGGCTGTCATAACTTCAAACTGTCATTAAACAGTCATTAAGCAAGGATTACCTGTACATTAAGTTTCATCTACGCATGTTTGTTCTTCCTTCTCATTGTTTATTTTCTGTTTACCTATGCAATTGTGCTAAACTCTCAAGAAAAAGACCCTAAGATGGAAAAGTCTGCTCTTTCACAGCTATCAGTCAATTCAACTGATAGCATAATATATCAAAGCCCAGTTATGTTTGGGCTGTGGCCCTGTTTATCACAGACAAATTGTTCCTGCTTTTTAAATATCTAAGCCTTTAAAGAGGAAGGTGCCTACATGGAAGGACTGCCGCTCAGCCAGAATCAACTTCTTGGGCATTCCAGGGCCTTATTCCACTTTTACGATTTCTGCTGGTGCTGAGTCAGCAGCTACATCTTCTGGCCATACAACTTTGTCCACTGGGCTTTACTAAAACCGCCCAATCAATCTCTTTACTATGGTTGAAAATGCAAAGCCCTTCCCTGCAGGCAGACACAAACAGTTGAACTCACAGAGTCACAAGATGTGCCAAGAACTGTGGGCTCATATGTGCCATTAACAAGCGAAGTAGGTCAAATGTTCTGTTCTGAGCCAGGGCATTACCTTATTCTTCCTTCCAGTAAACCCGACTGAGCCTCTCTTCTCTTACGCCTCTTCCTGTTCCGCATAATCCAAATATCTGCCTTAAAGAAAAGTGATCAGGTGTAGAAGTCATCCTTGGTATCTAAGAACAGTTGAAGCATTTGATCATAGGCTGAGTCGTCAGTCATAAGCATGAATCAAAGTCCCAGGTCTATCTGGAGCACCTCTAGATGGGCCAGGGGAAAAAAAAGGCTAAAATCCCCAAAAGTCACTGAAGCAAAGCATCCTATAACAAAGGGGCCGGGCATCAATCATGCAAGTGTGGCCACCATCCTGATGTTTCTGACCATCTCCTGCGGACACCCCTGCACTGAATTTGGTAGACGGACCGGTACGCTTTCAAATGTGAGCTATAAGGTCATTTAAACATTCATATTCAATCTTCCTACTTTGCAGCTTAATTTTAGAATATGATGCGATCGTTACGTTTAAGCACACACGCACACAATTTATCATCTGTCTTGCCTAAGGCCCTTACAAGTCAGTCCCAGGCATGGTAATGGTTGGCCTCTTAAATCGTGCCTATAAAGAAATAGTTGGTGTTTCCCTCCCTCCCTTTAGACATCTTCACGTTCCAGAGAAATATTTTTACAGTACTGTGCTGAACAGCAGTAAAAAAAATTATACAGCTCTAGTTTGAGCAATCATTTTCTGGTGGATGGAGGGCTTTTTTTTGGAGCGGGGGAGAATCTCTGAGATGAAATGTAAACTTTATTGCCTACGCTTGAAGAGGCATCCAGGAAACACGTAAGCAGCTTAAAGCAGATTGATTTTGCTCTATGGCCATGGAATATATGTTAGGAAAGAAAATGGATAACTGGGAGAGACTGTGGCTTGCCTGGAATCTTGAGGACTAGCATCCCACTTGCAATCGCTACTTGTGTCAGGCCTGATTTTTGCAGAGTGACCCATTAAAACACTATATTAAAAACGTCTTGCTGCCTGTCTGTACAGTGACTCAAACTAGCAGCTGGCTCGATGGCTTGTAAGCTTCCCTTTCATTCTTTCACCACTTATCTTATGCTTATTATATTATTGTTGGTTGCACAGTCAGCCAGATGTTTAGACTGGATTTGGCATTTTTACCCACCTATTGAGTCCTTCCCAAGGACCTGGGATAGGCAGATGTTGTTGCTGGATGGTGTTCAATGTTTATTGTCACAGGACATAAGTTTTCCCAAATAAAGCTGGCTTTTGCAATTGACTGATGATGATTTTGTCAATGCCGATGGTCTTCCAGTGGTGCTCCAGATGTTTTGGGATTGCACCCAAGGCGCCTATTACTATTGCTACTATCTTTGCTTTCTTTTACCACAGTCCTTCTATTTCTATTTGCAGGTCTTTGTATCTTCTGATTTTCTCCAGTTCTTTCTCTTCTATTCTGCTGTCCCCAGGTATTGTGATGATGATGATGATGATGATGATGATGATGATGATGATGATGAT